TTCTTTTTTTTTTTTTCTTTTTTTTTGAAGATTTATTTTTATTATTTTTTTTATTGGAAAGGCGGATATACAGAGAGGAGAGACAGAGAGGAAGATCTCTCGTCCGATGATTCACTCCCCAAGTGAGCGCAACGGTCGATGCTATGCCGATCCGAAGCCAGGAGCCTCTTCCGGGTCTCCCATGTGGGTGCAGGGTCCCAAAGCTTTGGGCCGTCCTTGACTGCTTTCCCAGGCCACAGGCAGGGAGCTGGAAGGGAAGCGGGGCTGTCGGGATTAGAACCAGCACCCACATGGGATCCCAGGGCGTGCAAGGCGAGGACCTTAACCACTTGCGCCACTGTGCCGGGCCCCACAGGTTCTTATATTCTGCTTGAAGTGATGCAATACCACTTGGAAGCAGACCATGACACGTTAAAGACCTGTAAACCCTAAAACCACCGCTAAAAATGACTTCATCAGAGTTATTCCTAGTGAGAAACAAACAAAAAGATACAACAGAAGCGCTGAGCAAAGGGGAACACATACATCAAAGCACAGACTCCCAACGTGCACCACACCCAAGGTCCATTACACCTAAAGAAAGTTGTTGCAAATACAAGCAGAAAGCGCTGCCTGCACAGGTGAGAACTCCGGTGGTGATCACAATGTCTTCCCATCCTGATTCTCTCCCTTCCCATGGGGACATAACAGTGCTATATTCCCTGTCCTCCTGGACATTGGATATGACATGTGCCTGGCTTTGGATTAGGATATGCAAATAGAAATCATTCTATGGATTACAAGTGAGATTTTTTTTTCCCTAGGTAATATATGAGCTGTTCTATTTCCTGTGAGAGAGATATTTTGTTTTTCGTTATCTCTATTTTTATTTGAAAGGAAGGGAGGGAAGGAGAAAGAGGGAGAGACGGGGGGTGGGGCAGGGAGAAAGCACTTCTATTTTCTTGTTCCCTCACCAAATGCCAATGACACTTGGGCTGGGCCTGGCTGAAGCCAGGAAAAGAATTCCATCCGAGCTTCCCAAAAAGACAGCAGTGATCCATTGATCAGGGCCATCACCTGCTGCTTCCCAGGGTGTGTGTTAGCAGGAGTCTGGGTTTGGAAGCAAAGCCAAGACTTGAATCCAAACGTGGTTATATGGGATGAGGGTGCCCTAACCAGTATCTTAGCCACTGAACCAAATGCCTACTCCATATAAAGGATATTCACATGATTTTTTGAAGGTTTATATTTATCTGAAGGCAACATTATATAGAGAAAGAGAGAGAGAATTTCATCCACTGTTTTACTCCCCAAATGGCTGCAATGGCCTGGACTGGGCCAAGTTGAAGCCAGAAGCCAAGAGCTTCATCTGGATCTCTTGTAAGAGTACAGGTGTCCAAGTACTTGGGTCATTGCCTACTAGATGGGATGCTGTATGGAAATGGAGCAGCCGGGACTCTAGCCAGCACTCACACATAGGATGCTAGCATCATAAGTAGCAGCCTAGCTCACTACACCACAACACTAGCCCCTGGATGAAATTTTACCCTACCTGATGCTATGAGGGCCCATCATGAGCCATGTCTCTCTACCAGAGGGACTGGGAAGGTTACCTAAGTGAAAAAAGGACTCTGCTGTGTCAGTCACAGGTGAAATTGGGAGACCTTTGTTATTAAAAACTCCTTAATAACAAAATTCTTTGGCAATGAAAGCCAAACTGGCCCTGTGGCCTCTGAACTCTCTTTGAACACGAAGACAGACATTACATACCACAGGCTATACCAGAATCAGTGTTTAATTAAACTCATATTTTCAAGCCTCCTTATACTTCCAGGTGCAGAATAAAGGTAATACCCAGATATTTCTTTCTTGCTTTTTTTTTTTTTTTGGACAGATTTTTTTTTAAGTTGTTTTTTTTTTTTATTGGAAAACAAGACTTAGAGGAGAAAGAGAGAAAGATCTTCTGCCCACTGGTTCACTCCCCCAAGTGGCCGCAACTGCCAGAGCTAAGCCGATCTGAAGCCAGGAGCTAGGAGCTTCTTCAGGGTCTCCCACATGAGTGCAGGGTCCCAAGGCTTTGGGCCATCCTTGACTGCTTTTCCAGGCCACAAACAGGGAACTGGATGGGAAATGGCATCCATAGGAGATGCCAATGCTTATAGGCAGAGGATTAACCAGCTGTTTCTGAATCTCCAGGTGCAGGGACACGACAAGTCCACTTAATGTTCTTAACTCCAAGAATCAAGGAAACTCACCACGCCATGGAGACTGTAATCAGAGTCCTCAACCAAGCCTAGTTCTACCCTAGAAGCAGGGCAGACAAACTCCAACCCACAGCTCCTTGCCAGCACTTACACATGAAACAAATCAGAACGGGAGTTCATGGTAACAAATATTTACCAATGGACAATGGACCAAGGGTTTAGGATTTGATTTAAAAAAAAAAAAAAAAACAGGTGAGAAAAGGTTCCATTAAGACTGCTTCTGTCTTCACAGTAGCTAATGTATAACCACATTTGTTTTCTGTAGATGATGTATGAGACACACACATACTCCTGAACTGTGAGACCTCAGCATCCTGGTTTGTCTCTATCAACCCCTCCATTTTTTTTCCAGAGATTCTCTGTTTCTTACTCAAATGAAACTGCTTCTCTTGTCACCGTTGCTCACTGGTCTCATTAATTGTCATCAACACCATGACACGAATCTGACCTCATCGCCCTGGATTTCCTGCAACACTTTCAAGCATCACAACCTACCAAGCTACAAAGCCCCTTGTTGGTCACTGAATTTTGTCACATCACTGTCATGGGGCAGGAAGGAAAGTTTCAGACACCGGAAGGACTCACTGACCTAGGAAGGAATGAGTGGGACGTAAATTCTTCTCTCTTTATTTTTCCCTTGGACAAACGTTCAGTGTGCCTACTTTTGGAGACCTATTTTGTTTCTCTGCCATAGCCTTCCCTCAAAGAGAAGGGAAATGAGAAGACACAAGTTAATGTTACAATAACTTTTCATTCAATCAATAATACTTCAAAGAAATCTCTAAGAATATTTAACAAAAACTTTTTCTCAAACATCCAACATTATTAAAATGAAGCAAGTTTTTGTAATATTCTCTTTTTTACAAAATATTTATTCTTATATTTTTTATATTTATTTTTATGGAAAGATCAGATTTAACAAGAGAAGGTGAGACAGAAAGATCTGCCATCCAATGGTTCACTCCCCAAGTGGCTGCAATGGCTAGAACTGAACCAATCCAAAGCCAGGAGCTTCTTCTGGGTCTCCCATGCAGGTGCAGGGCCCCAAGGACCTAGACCAACCTCTACTGCCTTCCTAGGCCATAAGCGGGGAGCTGAATGGGAAGTGGCACAGCCAGGACATGAACTGATGCCCCAATGGGATGCCAGTACCTGAAGGTGGAGGGGTATAGCCTATAAAGCCATGGCAGTAGCCCAAGTTTTCATATCACTTTCAAGCAAGTTTGGATATTCCAAACTTCATGCCTTGAATATTCCCTGTTCAGAACATTGAAATGGCAGCATGATTTTCACTTCTCCATTTTGGGGGGACCTGAGGGTCCAGTTTTCTTTGATAACACACTGCAGCCAGTGATGTCTGTCTCAGACACAGCATTTTCTAGCAGAAGGACAATGGGCACGGTCTTCAAGGGAGGCTGTCTTCTTTCCTATTTTTTTCTCTCCTCCCAAACGACCTTAACTGCAGTCACTCTCCTAAAGGCTGAAGTCCAGACGACCAGAGAAGTAAGCGGCAAGAAACACACACAAACCAATCCTAGCACATTCTAACTCCCAGTTACCCAGCACGGGCCCTGTGATTTACAGCAAGAACATGTATTTGACATCGAGATCAGAAAGAAAAAGAAGAATGTGGTGCCAAGTAACCACTGGAGAAAACACAGAGTCGGATGCCAGTCTAGGAAGGGGGTGGAACCAAGTGGGCAATCCAGGCCACTTGGGAGCTCAGCCAAGGAGATTTTTAGTATTCTGTGTATGCTGAACACCACCACACACCACGTTCGGCTCAGATAGAACCAAAATTTCCTCCTGCGTAAATGGTTACCTCTACATTTCCAACAGAACTTAGGGATTTTCAACTCAGCTTTGCCCCATATAAACTCAACTACCCAGATTCCTGTGCGAAGAATACAACTAACTACACAGGCAGTTTTCCGCGTGGTTAAGATGCTCAGGACCCACAGGGAAGTACCTAGGTTCCACTCGCTGTTGTGGCTCCTGACCACAATTTCCCCGCAAGGGCAGGCCCCAGTCATCAGAGCCACCCACACAGAGGCCTGGACTGGGTTCCTGGCTCCCTTCTCGGCTTCAGCTCAGCCTCCATCCACCAGGACAGGCCTCTGGAGAGCGAACCAGTGAGTGCCATCTGCGTGTGTACCTCACAAATCAGTCATTTCAAGAAGTTTAAAAAAAAAAAAAAGGCAAAAAATATTACAAAGGATGAAATACATCCTGAGTCAAGGGTCAGGAGCCGCATCCTTCCCTCACGCCATGGCCTCGCTCCCAGAAACACCCTCTTCAGCGGGATCCCAGACCCCTAGACCCTCTGTAGTCACACAACAGCCGCCCTTGGTCGCTTAAAGTAAGCTTTTTTTTTTTTTTTTTTTTTTTGGTTAGGAAGCGCAATGACTGCCAACCTCAACTCTTCGCCCACGTCCAGCAGCATCTCTACCCGCAAGGCAAGCACTTTGCTTCCTCCGCCCGAGGGTTGCACGCCCCAGTCCTGGGCTCCGTCATCCTCTAACCTGGCAGCTCCCCAAGTCCTGACGTGGCCAGCCTCCCCGCGCGCCCCTGCGCCCTCAGCGAGCGCGAAACGCACGGGTCCAGCTCCCCGTCGTGCGCCCCGCGCACGCCCGCGCCCCGCCCGGCCTCTCCGTGCGCACGCGCGGGCGCGGCCAGGGCCGGGCCTTGCGCACCTCTGCTCGGCTCCACGGGCTCCTCGTCGTCCTCCTCCGGGTCCAGGCCGGACAGGAGCCGAGGGCCGAAGGCCGAGGGCCGTGCGCCTGCGCGGAGCCGGAGTCCGGCAGGGCCGCAGTCGCGGGTGGTGAGTGGTTACCGTGAGGACCGGTCCGGCCACTCCTCTCTCCTCCGCCCACTCTACCCGCCCCGTTCCACGCCCCTGCCCACCACGACGCGGTAGACGGACCCCGGCCCTGTTTTCCCGCCAGCTGCAGCCGACCCGGCCGGAGGCGGTGCCGTTCCCAAGATGTCGCAGACGGCCATGTCCGAAACCTACGGTAAGAGGCCGCGAGGGGCTAGCGGGCGTGGGCTGGGGTTCCAGGATGGCCTCGTGGCGCGGGAAGCCGAGTCCGGGCCGTGGGTGACTCGGGGGTGTCGGGCCCGGACCTGCGGGGCGCGGGCGCTGGGCGCGGGGTCTCGGGCGTGAGAACGCGGGTGCGGGGGGCGCGGGCCTGGCGGTGAACGGCGCATTTACGTGATCTGCTTCTCCAAGTTTCTCGCTGCCGGTTTCTCCGCGCTTTGCACTTTCGGCGGTTTTTCCTTTCTTGATCTGATTTGAATAGCTGCACGTTCGAGAGGGTGGGTTGAGGTTCACTCGTGGCTGCGAGGGATGTAAAGGGCTGGCGGCGACGGCTGCATTTCAGTATGTTCCTCGGCGATTCCAGTTTGTCCTTCTCTGGTTTGGAATTCCTTTCTTTGCCGTGGGATGACAAGAAGGAGTTAACACTATCTTCTCTTCTTCCAGAGAACTCTTTATTTCCCTGTCTGGGGTTTTAGCCCGTCCTCGGTTGCATTTGGCAAGTTATGAGAGGTCTTGTCTCCATTTTAATATCATAAACACCCTCTCTTGTAACACTCAGACCTGGAAGTGCAACGCAAGAAACAATTTTTACACGAAAGCTTTTCAGTTCCTATACTGTGTTACCTTTTTTCCCCCCTGCCCACATAGAATAAAAAGTGCAGCGTGTACTTTTTATTGGGACTGAATAGATGTTTATCAGTCCTTCACTCTTTGAGATGTATACTTTATCAGATGAAAACTGATTTGGAGTTTCACAGCCCCAGAGGGAGACTCAAAAGAAAACGTATACCCCAAGCCAGATCCGCCTGTCACCATCTGTCCCGGCATGCTGCTGCTTCCCGTCAACAGATAATGAGTGTAGCTGAGTGTAGCAGGCGGCAGCTAGGAAGGCTGTAAATTCCGGGAGACACAGCAGACTGTCTCTGGTGGCTTGGGGTTTTGCTGCCTGGTAGGAAACACACTGTTAATCCAGTTAGGATGCTGTTGAGTAAATAAGGCCAGGCAGGAGTCCTGAAAGAATGTGCCTGTGCCTGCACATTCGGTCCGAAGCTGGCCCAAGCTGGGCAGGGAGCAGGTGGCCAGGCAGATGTAGGAGCCCGTGCCCAGGCTTGTGCAAAGGGCGCTTGAGGAGGGGGATTGTGATTTGCACTCTGGAAGGAGAGGGGGGCCTTATGGGAGGGCTCCATCTGCCCCTGGGGTCACAGTGTGTTAGGTCCCACTTAAGCGATTCTTGTCACCGCACTGCCGGGTTCTTGGTGACGGTGGAGCAGGAACGCTGTTCTTAGAAAGCTTAGGAAATCCTCCAGGGAGTCCGCAGGGTCTGTTAGGACCAGTGAGGCCAAAGTCTCAAGTCCTCCTGTGAGTGCTGTGTGTGGAGGGAGAATCACAGTCAAAAATAGTTAAAAAAAAAAAAAAAAAAAAGATTTGTTTATCTGAAAGGCTGAGTTACAAAGGAGGAGGGTGAGGGAGAGCCACAGAGATCTCACATCCTCTGGTTCACTCCCCAAATGGCCACAGCAGCCAGGACTGAGTCATGCCGAAGTTGGAAGCTTCATCTGGGTCTCCCATGTGGGTGCAAGTGCCCAAGTGCTGGAGCCATCTTCCGCTGCTTTCCCAGGAGCATCAACAGGGAACTAGCTGTGTCAGAAGTGGAGCAGCTAGGACTCAAACCGGTGCCCAAATGGGATGCAAGCATGGCAGGCAGTAATTTCGCTGCTGCACCACAGTGCCAGCTTCCAGAAAGGTGTTAAGGAAAACATGTTCTCTAATTCTGGCTATGTCTTTGCACTTGTTTGCTTTCTAGTGCTAATTAGCCCACTTTTTTTCCTCTTTGACCTGAGTAAGCGATTCTAGGGAGCTGTGGAAAGTGACTTCATGAAACAGCCTGTATAGATTGCACTTTTGTGGTATAGAGTGGTAACTGCTGATAAAGCAGGGCACACCTTTGCTAGCTCGCCTTACTTCACACATGGTCCGTAAGTTTTGAGCACTGCGGATGAATTCACTTAAGCCTGCTTTTTTCAGACTTGGGTCTTTTATATGCTTATTTCATACACCCTACACAATATGCTTTGTTTCTACTAATTCTGAATTTGGGGAAACTCATTTAAAAAAAAACTAGTGAATCTAATTAATGAGAATATTCATTTTAGAAAGAGCAGGTATGGAAATTGAGGTTCCCAACCTAAAATACAAGTCACTTAAGACCAAGAGCTAGACTGTCACCTTCACTTATCATTGGCCATGTTTGCCCAGCATTGTTACCTGGAAGTCAAACAGGTTCCCTCTTACTGAAGCTCAGCCAGCAAAGGAATGTTTGCCTAACTTCTAATCCCCTTTGTACCCTGTATCATTTTCCCTCTCCTGTAAAGGGAGGCTCTGTGTAGCTTAACAGGGATGAAAAATAAAGATTCAGTGCTGCAAATGTCAGCAGGGTGAACCTGCTGATGAGCCCATCAAGCGGTCGGTGCTCGGCCCTTTTTTATTTTTTTTAAGATTTATTTATTTATTTATATTGGAAAGTCAGATTTACAGAGAGAAGGAGAGACAGAGAGGAAGATCTTCTGTCTGGTGATTCATTCCCCAAGTGGCCGCGATGGCTGAGCCGATCCAAAACCACGAGCCTGGAGCTTCTTCTGGGTCTCCCACGTGGGTGGTGGGTCCCAAAGCTTTGGGCTTTGCTCCTCGGCTGCTTTCCCAGACCACAAGCAGAGAGCTGGATGGGAAGCGGGGCTGCCGGGATTAGAACCGGCGCCCATATGGGATCCCGGCACGTGCAAGGTGAGGACCTTAACCACTACGCTGTTGCGCCGGGCCTGGTGTTTGACTTTCATTGACTGGGTAGCACCCAGTGCTATGTTACTCTCAAGTCACCAGCTGCTGGAGTAAGATGCTTTCGTTTCGATAATACTGTCATGCCTTGGAAAACCTGAACAGGTCGCAGCTTGGAAAGCTGCCTGTGAGGCTCACTCACCTGAAACAAGGTTCTCCCCAGTGTTTTCAGATTCACTAGAAACACTGGCCTGCTAGTGTTGCCTGGGACTTCCCTGGAACTCCTCATGAGCTGTGAGACCCAAGGGATCACACGTTGGCCTGGTAATGCCTGGTGCCAAGAAACAGCATTCAGAAAGTGCTAAAATGTAAATGTGGTGGGGAAATGCCAGAATTCTTTTTTTAAAAAAATTAAATGTTAAAGCAGTTTAAGGAAAAATCCAAGGCAAATCTCTGTGTAATTTATGACATCTGCAGTGGGAGCAATTTATGAAACAACTCAAGCCTGTTGGCCCAGGCTGGCCTTAATTACTTTGTCTTCTTAGTGTTTTCATTTTGTGCTTCATTTTGAAAACTGCGCACTGTTGTGATATTTATCAGATATTGACAATTGTCAGAATATTTTCTCTTTTAAATATTTACTTTTAATTTGTATTTGAAAGACAATGTTACAGAGAGGAGAACAGAGAGTTATTCCATCCACTGACTTATTCCCTAAATGGCCACAGCAGCCTGGGGTGGGCCAGACTGAAGCCAGGAGCCAGGAGTCTCCTCCTAGTGTCTTACATGGGTGCAGGGAGCCAAGAACTTGGGTCATCCTCCTCTGCTTTCCCAAGCCACAAGCAGCAAGCTGGATGAAAAGTGGAGCAGCCAAGACACGAACTGGTGTCCATATGGGATCCCAGTGCTTGCAAGGGGGGATTATTAATTAATTGAGCCATGGTGCCAGGCCCGATGCCAGTGCCACCTTTTTCAAAAGTATTTACTTACTTATTTTATTTGCAAGTCAGAGGAACAAATAGAAAGAGCTCCCATCTGCTATTTCACTGCCCAAATGCCGACAAGAGCCCGGGCTTAGCCAGGGACGGAACTGGGAGCCAGGACGCCAGCCCAGTCTTCCCACTGTGAGTGGCAGGATCCTGATTCCTGGAACCATCATCACAGTTGCTTCCATGGTGTGCATTGACAGGAAGCTAGTCAAGAAGGGGAAGCAGGAATTGAAACCAAGCACTCCAGTGTAGATGCATGTGTCTTAACCAGACAGCCAAATGCCCACTTTCTGACTTCACTGGTTTTTGTTGTTGTTGTTGTTTGTTTGGAAAACAGTGCTGAGAGAGGGCTCACATTTGCTGATTCAGACCCCCAAGTACCCACAGCAATGGGCAGAAGTCAGCCAGGTTGCAGCTGGGAACCTGCAGCTCAAGCCACGTGGGTGGTATGAAGCCAGTTAACCGCTGACTTTTGTATTTCCTACTTGTGGCCCTTACTATAGAATTCTCTGTAAGAGAATTCATGTGTAAGATTCAGTATTGTAGATTCATTCTTACCATGTGTAACTAGGGAAGCATGTTTGTGATCTTTACGGTAAATATTTCTTTGGAACGAGAGGAAAGCTGTTAGTTGACTTTTTTTTTTTTTTTTTTTTTACTATTTTTTATTTTAACAATCTTTACATGGTTAATTTGTGCATAAAGGGTCAAGGGCTACCGGAAAGTGGGTAAGACTATTATTTCCATATTGTTTCCTTCATATATCTGAGGTACAGGGGGATATTGAGGGAGAAGTCCCACCTGATTTCCCACCCACCCCAAGTCCCGCATGTGGGGCATGCTCCGAGATACTCGTTGAAGTGGTTTCAATAGGTCACCAGTTTTGAAATTGCTGCCAATCTTGCCTCTCCAAACACCATGAGGTTGTTGAAAAATCCATTAATTGACATTATCCATCATAGCGTCTCTATTTGCCCGGTATTTTGTTGCCAACCTATAGCTGAGGTGGTTGATTAACTTGTTCCATCTTCTGTCCCTTCATGGTTAGGGTTCTGAGTCTGGCATTTCAATTGGGTAGATCACCAAAGAAACTTTGTCTGAGGTGTTCCCAGGCCAGATACTCGTATGCACCAGCAAGCACAGGGCCCAGCACAGTCCATCACCCGGTCAGCTGGTAGTTGCAATTGCTGGGTTGGTTCTGTTTTCAGCCCCGCCT